CCCCCCCCCCCCCCCCCCCCCCCCCCCCCCCCCCCCCCCCGGTCTTCTCCACTCCCCTGTCCTCTCCACTTCCCTCCACTCTCCACTTTCCACTCCCCTGTCTTCTCCACCCCCTCTTCTTCCCTCTCCCCTCCCCTCGCCTCTCCCCTCCCTTGTCACCTTCTCTTCATTCCTCCCCTCCATTCCCATCTTCTCTCCTCTCCCTCGTTTCTTCATTACTCTTTCCACTCTCCTCTCCACCCTCCTGTCCTGTCCTCTCTCCCCTCCCCTCTCCACTCTTCTGTCCTCTCCACTTCCCTCTTCATAACCCTCTCCCCTCCCCTCTCCCCTCCCCTCACGTCTCCACTCCCTTGTCACCTTCTCTTCATTCCTCCCCTCCATTCCCATCTCCTCTCCCCTCCCTCGTTTCTTCATTACTCTCTCCACTCTCCTCTCCACCCCCCTGTCCTGTCCTCTCTCCCCTCCCCTCTCCACTCTCCACCCCCATCTTCTGCACTCTCCCCTCTTCTCTTCATTACCCACTCCACTCCTCTCCCCTCTCCACTCCATTTCCTTGTCATCTCCCCTCTCCCCTCCCCTCCCCTCCTCTCCCCTCTCAACTCTCCACTCCTGTCCTCTCCCCTGTCCTCCCCGCTCCCCTCCCCTCTCAATTCTCCTGTCCTCCCCGCTCCCCTCTCCTCTTCATTACCCTCTCCTCTCCCCTCCTCTCTCTCTTCTTCTCTCCCTTCCCCAACACCTTGGATTGGACCCGGAAGCCGCCCCAAGACCCTTGCTCCCCATTCTGTGTCCCGCGTCACATCTTCGGCCCTTCTTTTTCTGGCCCTCAGGACAAGCAGGCGGACCTGCGCATCCACGGCTACGTGGACGAGGTCATCACGAAGCTCATGAAGCTCCTCGGGCTGGAGATCCCGGAGTGGACGGGGCCTCTGGTGGTGGAGAGCGCGGAGCCGCAGGAGCCCAAACCCCTCGCCAAGGCTGGCACGGACTTGCCGTTCCTGAGCAAGGAGGAGCCGCCGCCCTGCTGGAACGGCGTGCGGGAAGCCCTGGGACACGCGGCGGGGCTGAAACAGGAACCCTGCCTGCTGGATGGCGGCTCGGTCCCAGTGAAGCGGCCGAAGCTGGAGCCGCTGCCCACTTGACGGGCGCCGTCCCCGCGTGGCTGCTGCCCGGGATCCCTCCGAAAACCAGCGTTGGCCTTGGGCGTTTCTACCTGACTTTTTTTTTTTTTTTTTTTGGAGAATGGTCTTCCTCCGGGTTCTGTGTGCGATTTTCGTCTTTCCCTGAAATGTCGAAGCCCAGATTTTCTGTCTCTGGAAGAAGGCTAGTCAGTTAGCCGCCTTTCCATGGGACAGGCCAGGAAACAAGGCTTGTGCCCTCTTTTTATGCCTCTTGGGTGCTATTGAGGGACGGGGGTCCCTTCCCTTCTCCATCTTCCTCCCCTCCTCTTCTCTTCCCTCTCTCTACTCCAAGGGCCTTCAAACTTGGCCAGTTTTAAGATTCGTGGACTTCAACTCCCAGAATTCCCGAGCTAACCTGACTGAGAGGAGGAATTCTGGGAGTTGAAGTCCACAAGCCTTAAAGCGGTCAAGTTTGAAGACCCCTGGTCTAGCACGGGGGGGG